CTGCCGCTTGCGGTGGTGCAACCAGCTGTCTCCGCAGGTGGAGCACCGCGCCTTTACGCCGGAGGAAGACGATACTATTGTTCGGGCGCATGCCAAGTTCGGCAACAAATGGGCCACGATTGCCCGGCTTCTATCGGGTCGAACCGACAACGCCATCAAAAACCACTGGAACTCCACACTCAAGCGCAAGTGCTCCTCCCTGAGCTCCGATGAAGGCGGTAACTTCGATAACAACGACGGCGGTGGTCAGCCGGAGCGGCCGTTGAAGAGATCTGTCAGCGACGGGTCGGGTATACCCGTTTCGGGTATGTTCTTCAATCCGGGCAGCCCGTCCGGGTCGGACGCCAGCGATTCGAGTCTGCCTTCCCATATCTATAAACCGGTGGCGAGATCCGGCGTCGTTTTGCTTGAAACCGCTTCGTCCGTCGTTGACCCGACGACCAGTCTCAGCCTGTCTCTACCCGGAGTTGACCCGACCGAGTCAACCAATCACAGGACCGAGTCAACTCAACCCTTAGCTGTTAATCCCATCATCCACATGCCGCCGCCGATCCTGTCCATTCCTCCGCCGCCGCCGCCTCCACCACCATCGCCGCCTACACATGTCATCTCTTTAAGTCAGCTGAGAACTCACATCGCGTCTGGGCTGGGATCACCGGCAACACTAGCTCCGCCGGCGCCGTCGCCGATGCCGGCGGCGGCGGTGCAGCAGCAGCCGGACAATGTGTTCGTGCCGTTCGGGGCGGAGCTAATGGCGGTGATGCAGGAAATGATAAAATCGGAGGTGAGGAATTACATGATGGGATTAGAAACACAGCAGCAGCGATATCAAATCCAACAGCAGCAAGAACAGCAGCAATACATTAATATTCAGCATCAACAACAACAACAACAACAACAGTATAATAATGCCTATGAAGGATTCAGGAATGCCGCCATGAAGCGCATCGGAATCAGCCGGATCGATTGATTTTATTAAATTTTTTTTTTTAATTAATGTTTATTCAGTGACAAATGGAGAAAGAAACGTTCTTGGTTTCTTGTTTAGGATGATGAAGTTTACCTTTTTTTTTTTATTAATTTAATTAAAAAAATTAAAAAAAAAAATGGTCTTTGTACAGGGAGGCAGATGAGATGGTTAGAAGAGGTTTAAAACAATTTTTTGTTCTGTTTCTAAATAATTATTGTTTTTAATTTTCTTAAATTATTTTAGTTATTATTTTTTTTTTAAATTGATAAAAAGGGATTAAAATCAAAAAGACACGTGTCCTCATCAGATTATTCTTTCTTGTTATTATTATTATACCTCAAATATTACAGACTCTGCACAAGTGAAGTAACTACAGTACGATGGGATCCTTACCTGTACTTGTGTACAAACATTTATTGATGAAGAACTGAGTCTATTTTTAGTAACTGAAAAATGGGTGGGACCCTCAATTAAATAAGGTGGTTGTATCGTGTATGTAATGACGTGTCAGTGGTTTCGAAAACACAATAAAATAAAATAAAATAAATTAATTACAAAATAAATTCATACAAACAGATTACAGAACATAATATAACAAACAGTATTTTTTAAGGTTCCACTGCATTACAATGAGACATGATCAATGTCGTCATTTCGAATACTCGATCACGTAAATGCCAGCAGTTTAAGTTAGCCTACCGTATTCATCGTTCTAATCTATTCACAGTTGCAGAAGGGTTGATTTCTCTGTACCCCAACACCACCACACGTAATAACAACGAATCGAAACCCCGTATAATCACAAAGGTACAGCTTGGTAATTGCCACCTGTAACGAATGATTTTAATCTGTGTATGAGTTGCACAAGATCGCTCCTCCAAGACCACGTCGGGCTATTTAGAGCCCGGATGGAGTTTAAGCACACCAGAAGGGTCCCACCTTCGTGAAGAAGGACCTGCACATTTACATTAAAATTAAATCAAAAAAATTAAATAACAAGCGTCGTAGTAAACTTTTTCGATAGAAAGTAAAATTTGAGCGAAGATGCTTGTGCACGAACTTACTGTTAGCCAAAGTGGCAACACCCCCAACACAGATGTAAGAGAGGCCAAGAAAATGCTACCTAATGCAAGTGCTACATTTTGCTTAACCTGCGTGTGTCCATCATAAAACATTAATTTATATATATAAAAAAAAGTTATAAGTAAAGAAAATTAATCGCCACGAAAAAAGAAAGTACCAAAGAAGTGGTCTGTCGAGATTTAGCAACAGAGAAAGGGACCCCTGAAATATTGTCTTGCAGCAAAAGAATATCAGCCACAGCTATTGCGGTTGCACTTGCACGATCCGCTAGAACAATGCCCACGGTAGCTGCAGCCAATGCGGGTGCATCGTTTATACCATCACCCACCATTATTAGCCCTCCACCTGCACATAAATAAAATATTAAAAAATTAATAAAAATCAATAGTCGAAGGATATAATCACAAGTTCATTTTCGTTAGACATTGGAGATAGTAGAAAGGGGCACCTGTATCTCGAGAAATACGGGTGACATGAAAGAGTTTGTCCTCTGGTTTGAGGCTGCAGTGAACTTCTTTGATGCCCACAGCATTTGCTACTCTCTGTGCACTCAACTCATGGTCGCCAGTTAACATCATAACACGGAGGTTTGCTTCGTTTTGCAATGACTTTATCACGTCCAAAGAATCAGCTCTGGGCTTATCTTCAAGATGAAACAATGTCACCTGCATGAGAGAGGAGAAAAAAATAAAATAAGACCCTGCTTGTTTTCATTCTCGTTTTCTTCCCCAAATTTGTAATCGCCAAAAAAAATTAAAACACATGTTTTTGGAGCAGTTTCTTAAGGTTTGTGCTACAAAATTCTTTCATTATAAAACGAGATTCAAAAACCTTAATTCCACACCTTATTTGAAATACTAAGAAATCAATAGAATAGAAGTCTAAAAAAAAAATGGTTACAATTTAAAGACGAACTTTAATCCTTAAATTAGTTGATAAAAGCAATAAAGATTCACCTTCTCATTGTTTACTGAAAGAGCAGCACGAACAAAGTAATCTCCATAAGAAGAAGTGCTAAACGCCTCTTTGATTTTCTTCGATTCAGCATCTGATGTAAAAAGAGAAGTGATGTACTCTACAGAGCCAATCGAAGCTTTTAGTGGTTTACCGCCTCCAAACGCTGGCTATAGGAAACAGAACGACCTCCGAATTAACTCAAGTTATTAGGCATTTATAAACTCAATCAATCATACATAACTTTCTTGCGAGTGAAGTAAGACCTCATATCTACTCAGCAAAAATGAGAATTGTAGAATAAGTACATTCTAGCAAGTACTTCAAATAGATTCATAGTATAATTTAAACTTCAGTACCTCGATACTAGATATTGTCGCCAAAAGACCCCTTCCAGGTAGATTCTCAAAACTTTCAACAGAAACAGGAGGCAGATCCTTTCCAATGCTATGATCCACAACGGCTCTGCAACATTAAAGGAACTAAGACTGTAACTCAAATTTGAATGTTTAATCATCAATAAAATCACAATTCAAAAAATAATTATTCATAAAATTTCTGTATTAAAGACAAAATCCACTAAAGATCCAAGACCAAACAAATGCTAATGATAATATCCAAGACCATTTTTTTTTATCCGGTGCTTTACTCGTAGTATATCTGTAAAAGAAATATCGACTAAAAGAAAAGCAACCTTCCAATAGGGTGAGTAGTTCCCTTCTCCATAGCAGCTGCGACAGCGAGAGCTTCTTTCTCACAGCTCCGTACACAACAAGTAGTTTCTTTCTCATTGTTGCTAACATGTCCATGTATTGGTTCAATTGCTTTGCACATGAATTCCCCAGTTGTCAATGTGCCTGTTTTATCAAATGCAATATTTTGGCATGAAGCTAAAGCATCTAGGACATGTCCCCCCTTAAGCAAGATTCCCTGTAAAACAAGGTAATGCTTATTAGTTATTAGTTATGATGTTGGTCAAAAGAGCAAACAAATACGAACAGACATTCTTATGTGATATTCAGCCTACATTGATATTAAAAATTCATAAAAATCATTTTTTGTCTCATTATTATTCTACAGAAGCTAAATAAACGTAAAAGTTTCACTTTGTGAGGCTAGGAAACAATATTTTTCTTTTGAGAAAGTTTGGTATTGGCTGATTAAGAACCATTCACGACTCGTTCTTATTTTAAGAATGGTCGTTTAAGGGTATTGGTTTGCCCTCTCAGTTTGAAAGCTAACATTTTCTTATTCTGATATCCACAAAATAAATAAGTTAGCATCACCAACTTTTACAATTAAACAAGGTAATAAGAAAAAAGGATATACCTTTCTCGCACAACTATGAAACAGACGGCTCAACTCTATACAATATACATCAATGTAATCAAGATATACCTTTCTCGCACAAGCACTAATTGCAGTTGCATACACCAATGGTGCCACAGCTAGTGCACACGGTGATGCCGCTACCATAAGCCCCAATGCCCTGTAAAGTGATCCTCTGCAAACTAGAGAACAAAATAAAATTAGTAATCCATAAAGTTATAAAACTAGTATGGTTCTTGTCATATCATCCTCCTTCTTTCTAGTAGTCATCTGTTTATTTATTTCCACCAACATTTCTTTGTTACAAAAATGCACGATAACAAAAAAAAATAGTAAAAAAAGAGACCCGTAGTATGTATACCTGATGTACTGAGAAAAGGCCACTTAAAGAGAACTGGCCCCATCAATGCGATGGCAGCAGATAACACTATAACGGCTTTGCTATACTGCTCGCCAAACTTATCGAGCCATCTTTGAAGCTTTGGTTTACTCTGTTGAGCTTCTTCAGTCAATTGCACAATTCTACTCAGCATTGATTCTTTCCATGTCTTTTTTGCCTATTTAAACTTATGAACTTAGCAAAGAATGAAGGAAAAAGCTAAAGAGGACATTTCCCCTACAGTAACGAAGTGGTAAAATTGTAAAAACTGGCTGTCCATTGGCAAAGGCATAAAATATACTTAATTTTCTAATTATCACATCATCTTATTAAGATCAGTTAATATGCACCAAAACAAACCAAAACCACCAAGACCACGTAAAGTATTTTGCTGAGTCAGCAATGACAAACCTAAGTATATTCTGATATGCTATTACACAGAATAATTTGAAAATTTACCTTAACAATCATCATACCATCCAGGTTCCGAGCGCCACCTGGAATGCTGTCTCCAACATCCTTTTCTACTGGTTTGACTTCCCCAGTTAAGTGCTCAATGGTAATAGTGGATCTACCTTGCAACACTTCACAGTCCACTGGCACCGACTGCACATAGTGTAGATTAGATTTAAGATAGTTCAGATAAGCTCATACACATATAAAAACTTCTCATAATTTAGACCTATAATTCAGAAGTTATACGAAGTTCTGCACCCACAAGAAAACATAAAAAAATCGAGAAGTTAAAGAAAAAAAACGTAATCCTACTACTCCATATTCAAAATGATGTCTCTGTTTGACAAGTCGTTGAAATTAACATCAAACATTTTAGTTCCTATAAGAGAACATGACACACTTAACAATAAAATTGCGTCCCTTCGTCACTAATTTAGATCACATAGCCATTTTCTCACCTGTCTAATAAAATTTTCCTTTATTTTTTGCTCAGTATTTTAAACATGGAGCAAAATATACCATACAAATTTAATTTGCCGGATCCATTTGCCGAATTTAGTTCAAGAGTTACAGATGCAACTCTATATAAAAAACACACAATCATATATTGGCAAGAAGAAAACCATGATATGATCAAAAAAATATCGATAAAGCACAGACCTCACCAGCTTTGACCAAGAGATACGATCCGACTTCCAAATCATTCACAGGAACTTTGTGGTACATCAAATCCGAAAAACTCTGAAAATTCCCATTCTGGACATCCAACTCATACGCAAATTCAGGATGGTTCTCTTTCAATTCCTTGACGTCAATCTTAGACCTGCTCGTAAAATACTCCTCTGCAATATGAGCCAAGTTAAACATGGCCAATAGCAAACCGCCTTCCAATGGGTTCCCCATAAACACCGATGCAAATGCAGCCAAAGCCATCAGCACGTGAATGTTGATTTTCCCACCCACAATATCCATTGCAGCATCAAACGATGCAGAAACCTGCCCATTTAAAAATAAATAAGTAAATACTAAATAATCAACAACGAGTTTTCACTTTTCACATATATAATTCGAATTTTTAGTAGCTAAAATTGTTAATTACGCCAACGAGAGGGAAGGCAACGAGACTGAAGGCTGTCTGGAGAGGCTTGACGGCGGGCTTGGGAAGCAAATAAGGGCAAGCGGCGGCAGCCAAAAAGAGAGCCGCCGCGCAGCAGCAGAGCTCGAGATGCTCCCTCAAGAAGTTCGCCAGATCAGCCCACTTGATACGCTCCGCAAAACGAAGGAAACTCTCCTGGGGTTTCGTCAACGGAGCACCGCCGCCATCATGACAATGACAATGGCCATGATTATGATGTTGGTGCTGATGCTGGTTCTCCTGATGTACCGTATGGTGATGGTGGTTCCGATCATGGTCGCGGTGGTCGTCGGCGCCGTGATCGTGGTCGTGGTCGGCGTGGCTGTGGTCGTGGTGGTGCGAATGGGCCGAAGATTTGACGACGGGTAAACGGGAAACCGTACGGAGGAGGTGGATCGGCGGTGCCGGTTTTTTGGGGTAGGGGAGATTTAATTTGAGTTTGAGCTTCAATTTCCTGGTTCTGATGTTCTGTGGGAGTTTCAGTAAGGCGGTGAGATGACGCGCTTCCATGGCCATGGACGAAGCTCTGGAATTCAACGGGGGTTTCGAAATGGTGGGAAAATTGAGGGTTTCCATTGAATTTGGTTGATTAAGAAAATCAGTGAATTGAATTCTCTGGGCGGGGGGTTTGTACTGTATGTACAGAGGGTGGGGGGCGGGGGGCGGGGGGCGGGGGCGAAGGGGGTAGCTGGGATGTGGTGATATTTCATCACACACCATGACCATGTGCTCATTCTGATGAAAATTCAGCCACTGCTTTTCCATTTTTACCCCTCAAATTTGTAGCACTCGTGTGAGATAATGGCATTCATTTTAATTTGTCCTTTTACATGTTTCTCAATTTAAAAATAAAAATGAAAATTTAACAAAAGGTGTTCACATATTACACATTTTAGGTGTATGGAAAAAAGTGTTGTTGTTCTCAAAAAAAAAAAGAAAAAAAGTGTTGTGGACCTCAGGGTGTCTGCGGATCGTACACTCTCGACCCGTTATATAACGGTTCTTGATTTTAAAGAATTAAATTTGTTGTTTTTCAGCAGGTTTGTAGTAGAATTCAATCTTTACGGGTCGAAATCCGCTATTGTTTAAGTATTTTTTTGTTGTTGATAGTTATGAGTTTTACGTGAAACTATTTAAAAATTGAAATGAATCACCTAAAATCTTCAAGTGAAACTAACATGAATAAATTAAAGTTACGGATTCTATTGATGAATCTATTTGTCCAGTTCTAACGGGACTGTTCTTTACAGGTTGATGGATCCGATTTTCTCACCCCTAACATGCGATAGTCATACAACAAAAATATATAAATAAACGGTTCAAATCGTAAATATATAAGTCACACTAGAGAAGTTACATAAAGTTAAAGTGAACCATTTTTTTATTTTTTTTTACTGTATCTACTTACCAATTAAAGACTTCAGGTTACATATGTAACAGAACACCACTTCATTAAAATGAATTGCAATAAACATACATGTTGTAATAATAGGTAAACATCCCACTAGATAATGAATTAAAATCTCATGGCATAGCCAGGATTCTATCTTTGTGGGGCTTAAATACACCCTGCAAGTTCTAAAAGGAACAACGATACTACACTGCTAAAAGAAATAAAAAAAAAAAAAAAATATATATATATATATATATATATATATATATATATATGTATATACACACACACACAGTAATACTATTATTCTCTGAGAAACGACGGGCGCCATGCACAACCTCTTGTTTTCCTATGCCGTCTTCGCCACTAGTCCATAACTCGAGGAGAAAGGATATAACATGCTATGCTACGTCGACGAAAATAACACAACAATGGGATTATGGAAGGCGTTAGTTACGCATCCTAGTAACCATTGTCATATATATATAGACTTCAAACCATTTAGTGTCCTTCTCCGGGGCTCGGACCAGAATCGAACACATCGTTGGTTCCAGGACTCGGATCAGAACTAATCACGTTCTCCTCTGTTGGGCTCGAACTAGAACTGATCACATCTTTTTTTTCTTCTAGTAGCGGAGATTTCATCACGTCTAGATTTCCGTCTCTAGGTCTTAGAGTAGAATCTATCACCTCTAGGTGTGCTCCATTGTTTGGACTAGAACTGGTCGCTTCGTGGTTTTCTTTTTCTGTGCTAGGAGCAGAATTCGTCGTGTCTAGGTGTCCGACTTCAGAGATCAAATTAGATTTCATATTGTCTTGAGGTCCCTCTCCAGGATTCGAACCATGAAGAATGATGTCATCGTTTCCTTCTCCTGGACTCGGACCAAACCTCATCGTACTTTCCTCTTTAGGTTTGATAGTAGAACTCATCGTGTTCAAGAGGCCTTCTCCAGAGGTTGGACTAGAACTGACCATGTCATCGTCTTCTTTCCCAGGGTTCGAACCATAACTGACCCCGTCTTTGTTTTCTTTTCCTAGGCTCGGAGCAAAACTTGTCGTTTCTAAGTGTCCCACTACGGGTCTCAACTTAGAATTCATAATGTCTATGAGTCCTTGTGCTGGACTCGGAGCAGAATTGATCATGTTATGATCTCCTTCTGCTGGGCTCGGACCAGAACTGATCATGTTCAGGTATCCTTCTCCCTTGCTCGGACCAGAACTGGTCACGTCTTGATTTTGTTTTCCTGGACTCATAGCAAAACTCGTCGTGTCTAAGTGTCCCACAACGGGTTTCAACTTAGAACTCATAATGTCTAGAAGTCCTTGTGCTGGGCTCGGAGCAGAATTGATCATGTTATGATCTCCTTCTGCTGGGCTCGGACCAGAACTTATCATGTTCAGGTATCCTTCTCCCCTGCTCGGACCAGAACTGATCACGTCTTGATTTTGTTTTCCTGGGCTCATAGCAAAACTCGTCGTGTCTAAGTGTCCCACTACGGGTTTCAACTTAGAATTCATAATGTCTAGAAGTCCTTGTGCTGGGCTCGGAGCAGAATTGATCATGTTATGGTCTCCTTCTGCTGGGCTCGGACCAGAACTGATCATGTTTAGGTATCCTTCTCCTCTGCTCGGACCAAGACTGATCATGTCTTGGTTTTCTTTTTTTGTGCTCTTAGTAAAACTTGTCGTGTCTAAGTGTCCCACCATGGGTGCCAGCTTAGAATTCATCATGTCTAGGAGTCCCTCTGTAGGGCTCGGAGCAGAACTAACCACGCCCCGGTTTTCTTCTCCTGTACTCGGACCAGGACTAATCACGCCTTGGTTTTCTTTTCCAGGACTCTTAGCAAAACTCGTCATGTCTAAGTGTCCCACTACAGGTTTCAACTTAGAATTCATCATGTCTAGGAGTCCCTCTGTAGGGCTCGGACCAGGACTAACCACGTCATGGTTTCCTTCTCCTTTGCTCGGACCAGGACTGATCACGTCTTGGTTTTCTTTTCCTGAACTCTGAGCAAAACTCGTCGTGTCCAAGTGTCCCACTCCGGGTTTCAGCTTCGAATTCTTCATGTCTGGGATTCTCTCTGCAGGGCTCGGACCAGAATTGATCATGCTATGGTCTTCTTCTACTGGGCTCGAACCAGAACTGCCCGTGTCTAGATTTTCTTCTTTAGGGTTCAGAATATAATGCATCATGGTTAGAAATCCTTCTGCAGTGGTGGGCCCCGAACGGCCCGCGTCGTGGTTTTCTTCTCCTGAGCTCGGGTTAGCATTCATCACGTGTAGGTTTCCATCTTGAAGGGTCGAACCGGAATGATCTGAATCGGGGTTTTGAGCGGAATCTTCAGAGAGGAGGCGGCCGTCGGCTGCCAAGAAGACGGAACTGATGATGATGATGGTGAGAAGAAGAAAGGGGCAACACAAGTTTTTCATATCTTTGGCCATGGTTAAAATAAGTTGTTGTAAGAGATTTGTTTGAATGAAAGAAGAAGAAGAATGGAGAGATGTATTTATACATGTATGGATTGTTAGTTAGCTAGGGTCCGATGGCGTGGCATTAAAACAGGATTGACCGTTCTTTGACTTGAAATGGAGAGTTGTTTTAGGGTAACTAATTGCATGGGAGGTTCTCATTGTCGTTTGCAGTTCTACTTTAATTCTCTTCATACAAACTTTGGATATAATTTAATATGTGACTTACAGTTAATTAAATGCAATAGAATGTAGAATACAAAAAAAATTCTATAATTTCAACTTATAATATAACCATAACTTCAAGTAATAAAGATTTGAAGCCACACATGAACCAGAAATATAGTGATAAAGCAGCTACTAATGTCTTTCACCGGTGACCTGGTCCACGACGGCTCGGACCAGAATACGCTTGTCTGAAAGAAAAGGCGAACCCTTTGGACTGAGTGGACAGATTACGAAAAAGGTTCCTATTTCCCTCTACTTCGGTTGTACAAAATATGATCAAGAAAATCGAAATAGAAATGAGAATGACGAAATCTCTGTACGGTATTGGAAATGGCTGAAACATTGGACCTGCAAATTGTAAAAGAACAAAAGATGTTCTGAGATCTTTAAACTGCAGTTTCTTTAATATATATATATATATATATATATATATATAGAGAGAGAGAGAGAGAGAGAGAGAGAGAGAGAGAGAGAGAGAGAGAGAGAGAGAGAGAGAGAGAGAGAGAGAGAGAGAGAGATGTATGAAGTTAACTCAGTTTGTAAGATTTCCTCTTTGACCATGATTCCAAATTCCAGGGGCGGTTGTCTCTAAATTGTTGGAACAAGAAACAAATTTCTTATTTTGTTTTTTGGCTTATGTTAATAATTCAAGTTCTAACAGCTTTTGATGCATGTAATGAGGAGAAGTCATTTGATTCTACTGGCAAGAATTTACTATCCCAAAAATTACTCTGTTTTTTTCTCCCCCTTCTGAGTGTCTAGCAGTCCCACATTCCACAAAATCATATGCAATAATCCAAGCCCGATTCTTCTATATTACGAAAAATTCAAAAATCCCATTTCGTGCAAACGATCTTCTTTATTTTTAATTATAAATACCACTGATCTTACACCAAGATAATTACTAAATCTTGAACAAAATCCAGTATACATATATATTACACAAAATACATTAGTAGTAGCCAAAAAAAAAAAAAAAAACAAAAAAAAATCATCTAGCTTCATCGATTCTCAGCTGGGAGAAGGCCTCATTGGCATTAACCTGACTGATATCCGAAAAACTGCACGTCTCATCGATCGGTACATTATGAGAAGGCAGCCTCTGAATAACATTCATTGGAAAATCCAAAGAAACATCCGTCGCACTATCCTCGTACGCTTCCCTAGGCACAACCGTGTGCTGCAGCTGCAGACAATACTCCAAGTCCCACAACACATCCACCATGTTCGGCCTATCAGCCCCATTGTCCTGCAAACACTTCTCCACAGTCTCCCCAAATTTCCTCAAGGAATTCGGGTTAATCCTCCCCGCAAGAAAACGGTCAACAATCTCCCCCAACTCCCCCTTCCTCTGCCACGTCATCCCCCACTCCGCCAAGCTCACCTCCTCCCTCGGCAGCGATTGGTCGATCACCGCTCTGGCACAGAGCACCTCGAGAAGCACAACCCCAAACGAGTAAACGTCCGATTTCTGAGTCAACTGCAAGCATCTAAAGTACTCGGGGTCAAGATACCCGAAACTCCCCTTCACAGCTGTGCTCACGTGGGTTTCCTCTAGAAGGCCCGTTCGAGAGAGCCCGAAATCCGCAACCTTCGCCACGTAGTTTTCGTCGAGCAATATATTCGTTGACTTTATATCTCTATGTATGATCGCCCCGTTTGACCCCGTGTGGAGGTAGTGAATCCCTTTTGCTGCACCGATGCAGATTTTGAGGCGTAGGTCCCACGGTAATTCGGATCTTGAAGTTGAAGATCCAACGGATGATTCTTCTCCCTCTGTGGTGTAGAGATGGTCCCTCAGCGTACCCTTTTCCATGAACTCGTAAACTAAAATCATTTCTTCCCTTTCGTCACAATATCCAATTAACGAAACGAGGTGTTGGTGTTTGATTTTGGATAGGATCATTATCTCTGTTTGGAATTCCGGTAGGCCTTGCCCGTGTCCTTGCTCGCTTCTCTTCACGGCTACTTTTCTACCGTTTCTTAGCTTTGCTTTGTACACTTTACCGAATCCTCCTTCTCCGATAATCAACTTCGCGTTGAAATTTTTCGTGGCGTAGAGAATTTCTGAAAAGGGTACCTTCAAACCGAGGTTTAGATCGGCTAGCGGGGAGCCGTTGATGGTTCGATTGGTGGTTCTGCTGTACGAACTTCCTCCAAAGAAAGGCCCCAATGGCAAGTCAAAAGCTTCGACGGGCTTCCATTTTCTCCTTCTCAAACAGATAAACAAGAGTGTCAAGAAAACAAGGACTAAAACAAGACCTCCTACACTCGAACCGATAATCACGAATAAACTTTTCGAATGATCACTCCCTCCATTAGACGAACCCAATTCGGTGATTAGCTCCATAATCTCTACTCCATTCAGAAAAGCTGTTTGAACACGGGAATCTCTTCGTGGGCCAATGCTGACATTCATAAAACCCGAGTTATCCGAATCGACCACGAAATCGTTGTAGAAAGGAGCGGCTGTCTGCTGAACGAAATCGAAAGGGTAGATCATTGTACCGAAATTATTGTAGATGAAAAGATCGAACTTGAGAAATTCGTTTGTGGTGTTACTAACAATGTCACAGAAGTGGACACGCAGGAGGTGTTTCTTCCCCGTTTTCACATCGAAATGCCACGAGACATTGAATGTGTTGAATTGACTTCTACTGTCGATATTCATCTCTTTGGCGGTGCTGTAGACAGAATCAGGGGCATCAAAATTCGTGGCGCCTGGGCTCCGGTAATCGAGCCTGCCGTTGTAAGGGTCGCTCTTCCTTGCTGTGACTTTATTGAACAAATAATCATCATCGGGAATCCAATATCTCAAAAGTGTGTCGTTTGTCGGCGTAACATTCGAGCCTCCGATGTTAATTCTGTGAATTACGCGCAAAGGGGATGATAACAACCCCTTGTATTCGCCGTCATCGCCTTTTGGAGCGACGGCGGCGGCGGAATCTGGGATGAAGTCCGGCGGGGCGAGAAATACTTCGATTGCATTTACGAAAGCGAAATAATTAATTTCAGTAGGCACAAATCTGATCTCGAATTTGCCCACGGAAATAGTGAGCAGGAATTCTTCGATGAGTGGAAAATTTTTAAGATCAGTAGCGTTTGTAATTGAGAAATTGGATAAAACCCTAAACCTAGAAGCGTCGACGCTGAAACGAGCGTCGGAGATATTCCCCAAACCGGAAAGGGGGAAAAAGTGGAATCTTACCACATAAGTTCCATTCTGAACTACATCAAGCTCGTACGAAGAAGGCTTTCTGAAAATTCTCGCACTCCGGTAGAGTTCGTCGGTTGAAGAATTGGCGGCGTCTTCAATTTGGCTGCTGTCACCAGACGACAAGGTGAATTTACCGGAATTTACATCGCCGGTGTAGTTGCGGAGGTTGTAGACGGTGGAAGCGGAACCGCAGTTGATGAAGTACTGTTCGGGTAAGGTGTAGGCGGCGGCGGAGGAGAGAGAAAGAGATGAGAAGTGGAAGAAGAAAGGTAGTAGCAGTAGAGAGAGAAATATCTTCTGAGATTGAAGAATTTCCATGGAAGCTTTTTTCCTTCTGGCGGATAATCAGTGTGGGGGCGGGGGGCGGCATGCAAATTGCGAAATGGAATTTGATTGGTTAGATTTGTAATAAAAGAGTGGGATGCCAGGTTTGACTTCATGTTGACTTGTAGTCGTTGTTTTGTGTTTAATTTTACATATATAATAGGATAAATGGCACTTTACCCCCCAAACTATAGTGTCTTTTGCAATTTACCCCATGTACTAATTTATTTTACAGATGTTTACCCGAACTCGTAAAATATTGGCACGTTGCGCTAAATTTGCCGGAATCGTTCAATTTTCGCCGGAAACACACTCACATGCACTGCACTTGAGATTTTTTAAGGTACAATTGCCAATTCAGATCAAGCTAAACCCTAGTCCCATTTCCCTCGATTTTGGCAGCAATTTCCCCCCATCTTGTGAAGATGCATTAAATTAAAGAAATAGAAAATTAATATTAAAAGTATTTGTGACAATCGTTTTTAAATTAAGAAGATAGAGGAGCTGCAGAAGCTCGGAGATAATGATACAGAGGAGGGGAATGAAAAAGGAGGAAAATAAATGAGCAAGAAATAGGGGTTAAATTGCTGTCAAAGTCGAGGGAAAAGGAGGCTAGGGTTAAGTTTGGTATGAATTGACAATTATACTTTAAAAAATCTCATGTGCAACGCACATGACTATGTGAGTGTGATTCCGGCCAAAATTGAACAATTCCGGCAAATTTAGGGCACCGTGTCAGCATTTTACGAGTTCGGGCAAAAAATTGTAAAAAAATTTAGTCCAGGGGATAACATGCAAAAGGCACTATAGTTTGGGGGGCAAAGTGCCATTTACACTATATAATATTATCAATAATTGAGTTGTTGAATGTTGAGCATGTGAGTGGGGACCCAAGGGGGGGATTTCGGATTTTATTCTCTGGAAAAAAATGTATCAATTTGTGTTTATTACGAACAGCTCCCTAATATAATGTCAAATTATTAAAAGACCCCTTCTATTTGAGTAATTACAACCACCCCAGTTATGTATTGTCTTAGGAAATAATCCCTTATTTAATAGGTAAATTTTAATACTTATCCGAAACAGATATATAATTAAATTAGTTCAAGTCGTAATCATTAACGCAAGGATAAATATTACTGGGTAATTTAATTTATTTTCTTTCTTTTACGTGAAGAAATTCCAGAAAACCCAGCCGAAATGACGACGTATTGGATGATGCAGCAACTCCACATTCAGAAAGGCATATCATCAGTTAATGTTAGTTGTCGTAATTAATGATTGGGCTTCTCTTTTTTTATTTTTTATTTTTTATTTTTTATTTTTTATTTTTTATTTATTTAATTGGTGTCGAAAACTCGGAGATCGCCAGGTACAACATCAGCAAACAATTTATTGAAGTAATTTTTCATTTGTTCAGTGTTTGTATATTTCTGGAGATGAGTAATTTCTGACTATTTTTACCTTTTTGTAGTTATATATATATTGTGTTGCAAATTCAACTAGTATATACTTGCAAGATTCATAGCAAGCAAACTCAACTATGTAATTCGGTTATTTATCGAACCAAATCGTATATTCAGTTCGTTAAACGGTATGAAATGTTGGCGTACCGAAATTTCGGTTCGGTTTTACCTATTTAACATCCCTATATTTACCTCTGGAGGGGTATTTTCGTTTCGTAAGATAATATATAGTTGAGGGAGGTGTCTGTAATTACCCAAACATAAAGGGGGTTTTCGTAATTTACCCATAATTATATATACATATATATGTCTAAAATGTTATATCTACGATGTGGCGAGAAAAGAAACGAAGAATGTGGGGTTGGGTGATCGAGGGTGATAGTATAGGAATCTGATGTCGATAAAGGATGATCGGGTAAGTATTGGTTGTTCTTATTATCCTTAAATCGGACAAAATTATATAAAGCTATACTTAATACTGACGGAAGAGTGCGCTTCCTTTTTGTTTGTTTGTTTCTTGTAATGATCTTTGCAGTCGGATTTCAAGAAGATCGAGTGTCGGGATGTGTTCGAAGTATTGGCAGAACCCCAACTGTGGCAACAACTGTGCCAACAGTTCGTGATTTGGAGGACTCTTGGAGTGATAAGGTGTCTCACAATATCTGGAGAGATAAGGATGAAGAGTCCTACAAATCATGTAAATCTTGACCGAGAAATCCCAAGTGATTTGGAGTCCTCTAGCAACGAGTTCAACCCCAACATGGTAGTTCAATAAGATAGAGTTTATCTAGGATTTGGAGTAATCTTATGTAATTTACGATACAAACTCTTCTCCTTTAAATAGAGATGTATCGTCTCATTCTCATACATGAAAAACACAATCTTGTGCTCACGTTTAATTCAATAAAATAGTTTCTCTCCTCGTTTTTTATCTTGGTATCAGAGCCAGAGTGAGCACACACACATACACACACAAAAAAAAAAAAAAAAAGGGAAAAGATTTCGGCAATTCACAGTAGCAGTCCATCTTCTGCTATCATGAATTCTTTATCCCTCAATGTTGGAAATTTCATTACTCTTAAACTCAGCCCCGCCAACTATCCGCTATGGCGCGAACAAGCCCTGTCTCTTGCAGAAAGCCAAGACCTACTTGGTCATCTTACCAACGACGATCCAGCTCCACCCCAATACACTACACCGGAACCTCCCACCGCTGCTAGTTCAGCAACTACTGCACCAAAACTATCCGACGCCTACATCACATGGCGAAAGGCCGATCGTCTTCTCCGAGGATGGATCATCGGTACGCTCTCTGAAGAAGCACTTGGTCTCGTTATTGGCCTTGATACATCAAATTCGGTTTGGGAAGCATTAAAGAATGCCTACGCCGAAGATTCACAGGAACGTGAATTCACATTGCGACAACAAATCACGTACCTCCGTAAGGACGACGACAAAACAATTGGAGAGCACATTCGAACCTTCAAAGGCCTGTGATAGCCTCGCTGCAATTGGCAAGGCCATTCCAGACAAGGAAAAAGTGTTTTGTCTTCTCACCAGCCTCGGTTCTCAATACGAGACTTTCACAACTACCATGCTCAAACCACCGAGGCCAACATACTCTGAGCTAGTCTCACAACTTCAAAGTTTCGATCAGCGACGTAGTTGGTTTTCCAACCAAACAAATACTACGCCGTTCGCTTCCCAAATGGCATTCTATAGCCAACAACAGCGCATGTCTCATCAATCGTCCTCAGGATTTCAAAATCAGAAACCAAAGTTTAGTTCAAATGGAAGAGGATTTCAAGCACAACAACCCAGAGATCGGAATCGCAACTACTCCGGCCATACCTCGAATACTCAACAAAAGCGGCCTCCGCCAACTGGACAACGCCGTATGACGCCTGCTGAGAGAGATCGATATCGAGATGACAAATGTCAATATTGTGACGGGGTCGGACATATTGCTAAAATATGTTGGTGGGTGCTACAAAAACCAACTCAACATGCAGATATACCCCATGCACTTGCAGCACTCACCCTCGACAACACCGTCACGGACACTGAATGGACTTCGGATACAGGCGCATCGAATCACATGACAGGTAAATCAGGTATGATCTATAATATTCGACAATACTCTGGTGCTGACTCGGTTCTCATCGGTGATGGGTCTTCCCTACCAATTATTGGTGTTGGAGACTCAAGCATTAAGCAAGAGCGTACAATTTTACCACTTAAAAATGTTCTGTTAGTTCCTCACTTACAGAAAATTTTACTTTCTGTCAGTCAGTTAACGTCGCAATATCCGATTAATTTTGAGTTTACTAACAAAGATTTTTGTGTTAAGGACCGACAATCAGGGCAAGCGATGATCACAGGGACGCGCAAGGGTGATCTTTATGTCATTCGTAGCTCTCCAGAACTTCATTTCTCTCATCGTTTCAAATCCGGTTCAACGGAAATTTGGCATCAACGATTAGGACATCCTCAATTTTCGAGTTTACAATATTTGAAAAATAAAGGTTTCATTGATGTAATTGGCAGCACTAAACCTAAGCATATCTGTGATAGTTGTCAATTAGGAAAACTAAGTAAATTTCCTTTTTCTAGTTCTCAGCATTCAAGTTCGTCTAGTTTTGAAAAAATTCATTGCGATTTATGGGGACCTGCTCCTATTTTATCCATTGGCAAATTTAAATATTATGCTTGCTTAGTCGATGATTATTCCAAATATACTTGGCTTATTCCCTTGCAATTTAAATCTGATTTTGTTGATGCATTTCTTGTTTTTGAACAATATGTCTATCGTCAGTTTAATAAAAAAATCAAGGTTTTTCACTCCGACGGTGGAGGCGAATTTATCAACACAAGGTTATCTACCCACTTTCTCTCCACTGGAATAATCCATCAGGTATCATGTCCATATACTCCAGAACAAACAGGTATGGTTGAACGTCGTCATAGAATTATAAGAGAACTTGGGATGACCATGTTGTTTCATAGTGGTACCCCTCTTTTTTTATGGGTCGAGGCCTTTGCTACGGCTGTTTATCTAATTAATCGCCTACCTACGTCTTCCCTTAACAATGAAACACCATACTTTCAATTGCATAATACCCACCCTGACTACACCTCCCTTCGTGTTTTTGGCTCTAAATGTTTTCCTTACACGTGGGATACGCGAAAAAGTAAATTTGATGCGAAAACAATCCCTTGCATTTTTGTTGGTTACAGCGATAAATACAAAGGCTACAAATGTTTTCATCCTCCTAGTCGCAAATTTCTTATTTCTCGTCATGTTGTGTTCGATGAATTATTTTTTCCTTACAAAGATACCTCAAAATCTGCACCACCTCCACCGCATACTGTTAGTATTTTTGATTCATGGCTATCTGACTCTAAGATTTCTTCTGCTTCATCTAGTGCAGGAACCCACACTGTTGGAACAGTTGCTGTCGGATCCGTTGCACCAACTGTCGCAACAGTTGTACCAACTGTGGCAACAACTGTGCCAACTGTCGAAACAGTTGCACCAACAGACTCGCCGCCGTGCTCCAGCTCTCTCCCAACAGTACCACTGCCACTTTCACTCGCCAACCCTCCAGCAGTGCTAGAAACTCCACTTCATCCTCCACTTGATGAGGTCATATTGCCGCCACCACCTGAACACGAACCCGAGCAGAACCTAGCACCTGAACCAGCACTCCCACCCATACGAACCATTATCACCCGATCACAAAGTGGAATCCTAAAACCCAATCCAAAATATGCCCTTCTGTCTTCCGTTCTCTCCGTTAATATCCCCCGAGAACCTCGTAATATACGTTCTGCTCTTAGTCACCCAGGGTGGAAACTAGCAATGGACGAAGAACTTGAGGCACTTCGTCAAAATGACACTTGGAAACTTGTTCCTCGGACTCCGGACATGCATGTTATTGGATCGAAATGGGTCTTCAAACCAAAACTTAAACCCGATGGTTCCTTGGATAGACTCAAAGCTCGAGTCGTTGCGAAGGGTTATCACCAAATTGACGGGTTGGACTACACTGAAACATTTTCTCCGGTCATCAAACCTGGCACCATTCGAGTTGTTCTTACTGTTGCGCTTGTTCGGAAGTGGCCTATACGCCAACTTGATGTCAAAAATGCCTTTCTACATGGGTTACTTTCCGAACACCTCTACATGGCACAGGCCCCAGGCTTGGCAGATCCTCACCATCCAAACTATGTGTGCAAGCTTCAAAAATCTCTCTATGGTCTTAAACAGGCACCTCGGGCTTGGTTCGATCGTTTTAGTACCTTTTTATTACAATATGGATTCTTTTGTAGTTTAGCTGACCCCTCTTTGTTTGTCTACCATTCTAATCTCGGGACACTAATCCTTCTTCTTTATGTAGATGACATGCTTTTAACTGGTTCTTCTACTGCTCTTGTTACATCATTCGTTGAACTTTTGAGCAGTGAATTTGCTATGAAGGACTTGGGATCTATTCATCACTTTCTCGGAATCGAAATCTCTGAAACGAAAGATGGTCTTCACCTTTCCCAAGCACACTATGCCCTCACCATTCTCGAGCGTGCTACTATGGTGGATTGCAAGCCAATGAGTACACCCCTTGAAGGCAGAACCAAGTTATCATCAAATGAATCTGTATTAGAAGATCCAAGCCACTATAGAGGACTAGTCGGTGCTTTACAATATCTCACTCTCACTAGACCAGATCTCTCATATAGTGTTAATTATGTGTCTCAATTCATGCATTCTCCCACCGTCGTTCATTTAAAAATGGTTCGGCGCATCTTAC